AAATGTCTTCAACTTGACCGGTTGACTTCTTGCTTTATTTTGTGTGATTGCAATATATAAATTTCTTTGTAATGATATAGTCTTTTTGATTACATTGATTACATAAGCTTTTTCTATAATACTTTCACCTTCAAGTTGTTTTACTGTATAGTCGAAAAAAGGTATTGAATGTTGTGAAAGGAAAAATAAATAGAATTGATGTAAACTCTGTGTGATATATTGTGCTGCGCAAAAGCTAAAAGAATAATATAAATTAATGGAATAATAAAGTTACAAATTATAAAGATCATAACAATTGCAGATCTATGAGTGAAATAGTTGTCAAAAGCTCGTGCAAATAGAATCTAAACAGTTTCCCCCTTAAATCATGTTTACAGTTAACAACTTAACAGCTACAATATTTACAAACATACTAGTATTTTATACACATCATATCATAGAACAAATGGATAACTAAATACAATGATACTACCATACAGATATATACGGGGCCTCAGGCATCCATTACTAGAAATGTCAAATGTTCAACTGCTGGAAGAACTAATAGTAAATTGTTCGGCATAATTAACCATTATCTAGACGTGTGTCATGCGACAGTTATAGAAAAATGCGTCTGAAAGCGGTAAATTGTCAAAATAAACCTCTCTCAGGAATTCTTCTCCATTCTGTATTTAATCGATCCATGAACTGGTCTCTTAATGATAAGCGCCTCATTTTTATGATGTATGTAATGCATTCTCATTAGACATACAGTTATTACGATCACTTTTTGTCCGATTTTTTTATTCTCCGAGACAATGAAGGATACTTCTTTATATAGATAATAAGACATACTTCATATATCATTGATACTAGTAATATGCTTGGAAGCTTCTTTCAATAACCTCAAAAACTGGCCTATCATATCTTACCAATCATTTTTATTCAGTTCAGGAAAATCATTCAAGTGGTTCTATTAATGATGTGCATTTAAACATCTCTTTCAAATCGTCTTTATTGTTTTTAAATTCTTGCATTTCAATATAAACAACTTTACTGTACATCTACTTACACTTTCAGTGATAAAGTCTATTAAGTTTTCTTTTGGGCGTATAAATATAATGTACATAATGTCAAGATCATGTGAAATTTTCCAATGTAATATATATAATCGGTCATACCGCTTAGAATGTTTTTAATAATAATATATTTTTTCTTTCACACCAACTGTAATGGTCATATGACTAGTTACCAACATAAAAGGTGGATGCATATCTTATGTGTTCTTTTGTGCATTATTTAATGCACGGACAACAACAACAACAACAACAACAACAACATATTTATTTGATAATAAGGCCACCGGCCCATAATATACAAAGCAACATGGATAAACATTTTACGGACGGGCACCTGACTTGAACCACCGATGTCCCCATCTGGAACCACCGATGTCCCGTCTGTAAGCTCAATCGTTTCCTAAAATGAAATAATTCAGCAAGGAGCTTGAAGTGAACTGCTTAGTTCAATCGTGAGTATGAGGTATAAGTAAATAAAACTATAGTAGGGTTATTGTCAAAGTGTAGCTCTTCCCATTTTAATATAAATCCCAAAGTGTCACCTTATATGTCAAATCTGTCATCTTTCCTTGCATGTTCAAATGCAATAAGAAATAGCATTGTACTTTATTGTGAAAAAAACAACACTTTTATTACGTTAATTTTATTTGAGTTTGTAGAATCGCGAGGAAATTATGTCAAGTTTGTGAAAAATGCAATGATTTGATATTTGCTGTCATGTAGATTCATTAATTGTATCGTTGAATTAATTAAAAGGTTCACTCGTTGTCATATTCTTGTTGCACTATATCGAACTTAAAACGAAGCACTTGCTTAGCAATCAGTTATGAAAGTGGGGTTGACCATTCTATATTAGAGGCCTTTGTCATTGGACTAAAATCCAAATAAAATGAAATAGTATTCCGTATTTTCGAACAAGATGACCAACATTAATTCACATGGACATTGTGACGTCAGTTAAGGTTTTACTATAGATAAACTAGGTTATATATAGGCCAGAATCTGCACAAGGATTAAAAACAGGCTGAGGATTCTTAACGGATTCTTAATGGTTCCAGCACGTTATTGTTTTTTGTTGTTTTTTTTTATGAAATGAACGAACCTCTCGGATGAGGATTTCATTTCATCACCTTTACATCAAAATGACGTCAAAGCTTGCCCTTGCTACCTCTGTATTGCATAGATTGATAGTTATTTTAGGCCCCTGTCACAAAATGTATGACGTTTCGCAAATAATTTTAGAGTATATTTATATGCATAGATGTCAAAACGTTATGGCGATTAACATTTATTTAATAAAAGTCTTAGTTTAACTTCTATGACTTAACACGTTATTTCTACAACTTTGTAATGTTATTATAGAGCTGAAATCATAGAACGTTTCATAACGAACAAAACAGAATTTACGCATGTCGGGTATTTCTAACAGATTGCTATCAATTTGCATCGACGATTATATAATATGTACTTAAATGATAAATTCAATAACACTCAGTTTTCAACAAAACAGATTTAAGCTTGTAGTCCAAGGAGCATTGGATCATATCAAATATTGTCCGGGCAAAGCATGTAAAGAAGAATAGAAAAGGGTTTTACAGTCATCACAGAGACATAAAATGCACACAATATTTCGATCTAAAACATTTATTACAAGCAATGAAGAAAAAACTAAGTATGCCTTTAAATGTTATGTTATGTACAGAATACGAAATGAGATCACATTACGATCACTAACTACGAAAGCAAATACAAGTACCTTTTGTTTAAGTACATAAAGATTTTTGCCCGCAAGCATTCTAACTTTTATCAACAATGTGATTTCATGTGTTTAAACATATTATATAGAGATAAATAATCCGGAAATACGAGGGCTATCCCACAAAGTCATGGACAGTTACTGTAAAACTAAAAACATTGAACTCAAAATTATTTTGCAGAAGTGTATCTCCATCAAATTAATTTAAAAGTAGAATAAGAAACATTATTTCAAGAAAGCACACATACACTGAATATTAAAGCATTAATACAGGCCCGGGGTGTGCGTATGCGGTCCAAGTCAAAAATCGTCATTTTTTATATCTTCAAAACAGAGTAAGTAGTCCATAGTGTAAGAAAACTCGTATAATCTCAATTAAAATAAAGCTTAGACGTAAATGTGTTGTCAGTAGTGGAATATATTCGCAAATATTCAGGAGCCACCAGTGAATAATAAAATGACATATGATTAAAAGACGATCGAATGATAAATGAGAAAAACTGTCTATGCCATCTTGTAATAAAATATCTTAGAAAATAGCAAGAAAAACTTAGGAGGTTTTAAAAAGTAAACACAAATGTTGTGGATGCTCTAAATAGACAATTTCATAAATGTGTTTGTCAGATTTTACACACTATATAATTCTGTGACAGCTTCATGTCTTTTTGCTATGACTTTCTCTCGCTTTCTTTTGTGTAAAGTTGGTATACTTATAAAGCTTGTTTGTTATTTAGATTGTTTCATGTGAGAAAAATATCCAGCTAGATTCTATTTGGGGGTCTATTTAACTACGTAGTTAGTGCTGCCTTTTACCAGTATAGCTACAAACCATATAAACAATTACAGTGTCGGCGACTGGGCTTCAAATGTTACCATATTAGAATTGTTGTATTTTATTCGTCCGCCAATGAAAGATTTTTAAGAAAATGCTCAAATAGAATCAAATGAACATGTATTAAATAATAAAGCAATCAAATAGAATTAAAAGAATATGTATTAAATGATGTAGCAATCACAAAATGCTTTCATAACATTGGGACAAATTAATAAGGACCTTATTTTTTTTCTGAAAATTGCACGATACTCATTGCGAAAAGTAAAGCGCCCGAGCTTATCATATTGTTCATTAGTTGTGATATCATAAATATCCCGGTATTTGGATATGACCTTTATTAATTTTCTTAATCGAATTCTAATATAAATAATGTGGTCCCTCAAGTGCAAAATTAATGTATTTCTGTACAACATAACGTAACTGTAACCGGCATCAAAAGCGGACAATCTCAAAACTTGCAAACTTCAAAAGTTATGGTTTGCGGAACATAAATATGAGACACTTTAATTTGATATTACAACAAATTGGGGAAATCAGAAAATCGGGAATATTCCTAGCATGTGCTACTAGTAATTGGCGTTATCGTGCGTTTGTAAGCGGTTTTTTTTAATCTTCAAAATTATTTCATATTGTTTTGATATTCGTGATATGTTTTTGTTTGTAGTTATTTTAAAGTTTTACCCATTTCTGAGTTAATAATTATTTGACAATATGACTGGTAATATTTTTCTGAAACTTTTTTCAGATACATACTGCTTATACAGCTTGTTTTTAAAGTGATGTTTAATACAATGTAGCTTTAAATTCTACTACATTTGAATTCATGCTATTGTACAAATAAAAATATTAAGTCACAGTCTAAAAGCTGGTCGGGCCGGGATGGATTTCAACAAACACTGACTGGTTTAAAATGAATTACGTTTCTCCATATACGTTTAATATTTAGTCACATGTTATTCTATCATTTCGTCTGGACATAAAGTCACTTGATTTCCTAAAATATGAAGGCGTAATAAAAGTAACATACGCAAAGGACGGGAGTGTGTCTTTCTTAATCATTTGCATCGCCTGCTATTTCCTGTACTATTACTCTGGGAACAATTTATTTGCTATTAAAAGCTCTTACATTTTGAAATATATTGGAGTTAACAAAGTGATAGATCTACACAAACAAAATACATTTGTGTATGGCAAATATTCTGGCACTCTTTGTCATAAACATTACCTTATTAAGTGACGATATATGTTAAACTGAGTATAAATGAATGTGATATCTAGACGTTTGCCTCAAGACAGTTTTACAAATAACCCACCTACTATAAAAAAAAATCCTACGCCATTAAAATAATTACATAAAACAATCATTTCTAGTAATGCAAAAGATTTAATAACACAATATTATTACACACAACATAAATACATGATAAAAAGTGTATATTTCGATTCTAGTACATAATTATTTTTAACTAATACAGTATAAACAAACTCTGATAAACGTCTTGCTATATAAGAAGAGTTTAGACGAACAGATGTGATCTGGAACTTGGAAAATATGGGATTTTCCCAGCTAATCCGTAGGTACGAACAAACTTTTACAGTTATAGATATCAGTGTACTACCGGTCACAAGAGATTAGTCAAGCTGATACTCCTATTTTCGAAGCTGTAACTGTAAAAGTTTATTTGTACTTAGGAAGTAGTTGAAAAAACAACAAATGTGTTTTATTCCGGATTAAGTTCATTACATCTATTCGAATGAAAGCATCAGGTCAAGACATGCCGCTTCTTTTCCCGTGTACGTTACGTTTGCCCTGACGTGATAATCTCCAGTGGGAATAACGCTTGCAACGATATCAAATTCCGTCTTCGGTAGCATGTAAGAATTCTGTAGAAAATTTAAGTGTATTTAGTATAATGAACAAGTTACACCTTTAAGTTTTTTTCAATAAGTAGATCCCTTATGAAAATAACAATTATTTTCTTAAAATAAAAACACGTGCTTCACATGTTGGAAAAATAATATATCAGTTCAATGTTTTCAGTGTACAAAATATCGTTTAATTTACAGCGTATTGATTTATATGCACGTCTTGATGCTTAAATGTTTAAATTTAATTTTAGTAGAAATTGTAACGAGTTGAAAAGTTTGATATTTGTAATAACCTACCGCCTTTAATGGACATGTACAATCGATTCCAATTCTCTTAATGGGGTCCGGGCACTGAACCTGTTCTAGAAGTTCGCAAAAGTCAGGATAATGACAGGAACCAAAGTTGTCAATACATGGAACCTTCACAAACTTCCCAAATACTTTCTTTTCAATTAATACATCACCCTGAAAAGAATTATTATTTTGTGTCAAAACAGAAGGTCATAGAAATGTTTTGACACTTTTTATGTCGTATTAAATTCATCATTTTATTATTAAAAAGATAGAACCAAACAAACAAAACATACTTGCTATCTCAAATTAAAAATTGTCTCGTTAAAGATCTGAAATGTATAAAAAAAATATTTTGTATTTGGAATGGGTATACCATGCTAACATTCAACATGAAATTGTGATAAATATAAGGCTATAATTTTATCAAAATTACTCCTTACCACCATTGGTGACCCTACATCACTGTTGATTTTAAAGTTCGCCACGACATTGAGAGGTCCAGGGAAGTCCAGAGGGTCTGGTGTGACTTCAATTTGATTCAAGTTTATCAATGCGTTAGGTCCTCCACAGTCTGAGAAAGAGAATGTCTTCAACTTGACCTGCTGACTTCTTGCTTTATTCTGTGTGATTACAATATATAAGTTTATTAGTAAACAGATATGATAAAGTCTTTTTGATTAGAATGATCCTAAAGGCGTTTTCACCAATATTTTCACCTTTAAGTTGTGTATGTTGTATAGTCGAAAAAAGTCAAGGAGAAATAAATATAATTGATGTAAAATCTGCGTGATATATTGCTGCGCAAAAGCTAAAAGAAGAATATAAATTTATGAAATACACGTTAAGTTGCAAGTTATAAAGATCATAACAATTGCTGATCTATGAGACAAATAGTTATCAAAAGATCGGGCAAATAGAATATTGACTGTTTCCCCTTAAAACATATTTCAGCCATTCTCCTATAATTGAAGCACTTTTTAATAATTCCTGTCTCCACTTTTAAAATCGTAGTAAAATGTACAGACGAGCTTAATCCTTTGTGACAAACATTTAAATAAGTACACTGGGATGTTCTCAGCAGCTTAACTTAATTTTGTAGCGTAGAAGCTCCTCGTTTTTCATTTGTGTTAAACTGAAAAGCTATAGTATCTGCAAAAAATAGCTGTCGCTTGACCAATTAACGTTTAAGATTGGTGAAAAAAATAATCCATTTCCATGTTTTCCAACAAGTTTTTGCCTAAAATCAATACAGTATTGATAATAGATTCAGAATAACATAAGAAGTTCGAGAAAGAGACCCTTATTTTCCATGATTTTCTTTAAATGTTGCTGTCGCCGAAATGCAACTATGGTACCGTAACGATTTTAAACTGGAATGAAATGATCTTGAGATGTGTTATGTTTTTTCAAATTTGTACTCAAAACAATATCAAAAGACTATATTTGGAATAAAATTGATAAATTAGACTCCTGCGATGATACATTTTAACTCAAACCGTTTTTTTGCAAATAATTCAAATGTCGCGTTTAAAATGCTATGCCTCCGTAACGGGTGTATACTTTTAAATATACAATATACCAATCAAATAAAAATTTTGAAATATTGTTTTGTATTTCTTTAAATGAAAAACACCAAAATGAGATGTCGTTTGCACAAAAATGTGATAACTCTGACCCGTAGAAGTCTAATTTCACTATGTTTCCATAACGACTATTTTCCGTAACAAAACGATCATCCGAATTTCGGTACAGTATACGGTTCAACTGACGGTGTGACATTTTTGCCTATCACCGCTCCCAATGATACGTCACTAAGAGGTATGAGTGCAACATCTTAATTGACTTTTATGATACAATTGGGCAATTGGAGGTAATTGGCAGTCACTGTACTTTATTTTGGCAACCAGTGGTTTTGATTTGATAACGATATTTTTACAATTATGTTACTTACATGAGAAATTTTACTGATACAAATCGATTGCAAGCTCTATTTTCAGCAAACCACAGAGTCAAAAGTAGCAAGTTGATGCTATTTAATTTTTTTTACCTGTTTAAAACATTTGTTACGGAACATAGTTAATCATTTTGAGATCATAATCTGATGTCATATATGTACTTTATCCATAGATATTTAACAATTTGAAATGAATGATTGGTTTCAAACATGGAACACATATTTCGATGAAAAATAAGTGCACAGTTTATCAAATAGTCAAAGACAATTTGTTACGGAAGCATAGTTTTCTATCATCTTTTTTCAGACCATAATACATATATTCAGTTTGTTTATAAAAACTGTTCCAGTGAGTTTTTTCATTATAAAGATATATGAAAATGGTGTCCAATATTAACTGGAAGTCTAACATGATTTGTATTGTGTTGTAAGGTTGCAGCTTTCCGTTACGGAACATTTCAAATTTGTTACGGAACATAGCATTCATAAATGCTATGTTTGAATATGATTTTTTATGTTTTTTACTATTTATAAAATACCAAAATTGTATCATTATGTCACTTACATTATCTAAAAGTTTTAGAATTACAATTATCATGAAAAAAGTAACATTAATAATGATATTAATGTAATAATGATAAAAATGATGATTATTATGTAATTGTTATATTAATAATCATGATAAAAATAATATTTTAATGATGATCATGTATCAAGGTTAATAAACTTAAACTTATAATATGCAACGATTTTCTTGTGTAGAATGGTGCTTCTAAATACAGAAATACAAAAGACAAAAGCAGAGAGGGGAAAACAACAAATCATTTAAAAGAGAAAGAAAGGAGAAAAAAGTTTGTTCCCATTCAAAAAAGAAAAAGCACTGGTGAAGAAAATGTAGAGAGAACTACATGAAACATTATAACATTACAACAAATTTGTGTAAATTAGGCAGAAATAAAGCAAATAAAAGTGAAAAAAAAGAATTCTTGTTCATTTTCAGGGAAAAAACATAATATTTTATTTTCCATAACATATGTTCCGTAACATATATCTTTTCCTGCACTACTCACTAAATTAAACTGTTGATGTTATTTTTAATTGATACAGTGTTTTATGATTATTGTTGTTTGTGAAGATACCACATTTAAATTGTTAAAGTAATTTTAAAGAGTAAAAATATTGAGTTATAAATCCTATGTTTTATCATTTTTCACCTATGTTCCGTAACAGATCATAAGGACTGTTTGATGAACATTTGTGCAGCGAAGTTTTTTTGGGAACGTTACACCGATTAAAAGTTATGTTTGATTTGTTTTCTGCTTCTGTTTTAGATATAATTCGATAACTTTTATGACAGTATTTGTTTGTGCATTGTATCGAAATAATGTCAATCTTTAGTTACGAAAATTTTTGCTTATACAAGCTTTTCAAATACGAAGTATACAAGTTTCAGAATAAGATATGACATGAAATATTTTTGCTAAAGGTAACCATTGGTCTTCAACTTTACAATGCATATTCTTTCGGATTGTTTAATTTAAAATGTTAGTTAAACAATTATTCCGAGGTAATTCCTATGGTATATATATGTTCCGTAACAATGTAATTCAGTAACTCACTTCAAACGCTTTCAGTATACAAATGGAGCGAATGGTGTGTGTTAAACTTCCACACAATCTGTCCAAGGTATTGAACATTAAAAGCAAATCATAGAAAACGTTGTTTATGAAAGTCAGATTTTTCATTTTTTGTGAACCAAAAGTGCTTCAATTATGGGAGAATGGCTGATTTACAAACAGTTAATAGCTACAATATTTACGAACATATTTCATTCATATCATAGAACAAATGGATAACTAAATACGTACAATGATACTTTCACACAGATATATACGGGGCCTCAGGCATCCATTACTAAAATGTCAAATATTCAACTGCGGGAGGAACTAATAGTAAATTGTTGGGCATAATTAACTATTATCTTGACGTGTGTCATGCGACAGTTATGGACAATTCCGTCTAAAAGCGGTAAATTGTCAAAATAAACCTCTCTCGGGAATTCTTCTCCATTTTGTATTTAATCGATCCATGAATTGGTCTCTTTATAATAAGCGTCTCATTTTTATGATATATATCATGCATTCTCATTAGACAAACAGTCATTATGGTCAATATTTTGTCCGAGGTTTTTTTTTCTCCGAGACAAATGAAGAATACTTCTTTATATACAAAAATATAGATAATAACACATACTGATATCATTTATATCATTGATACTAGTCATATGCTAAACATGGAAAAATAAGTGTTCTTATATAACCTCGTCAACTGATCATATCTTTTCACTCATTTTTACTCAGGAAAACCAATCACTACTATCAAAACTGGGCATTTTAACATCTATCTCTCAAATTTTCTTTAAAAAAAATCTTACGTTTACATACAACTTTACAGTTCATACAGTACATGTACTTACACGTTCCGTGATAAAGTCTATCAAGTCTTCTTTTGTGCGTATAAGATTCCCAACTTTGTCCAGCTCTTTCATCTCGAACTTAAGCACATTTGGCATGGCCGCCACACATGCTATTGCTATAGAAACCGCAAGCAAGAGTACGCGCATATTGTGGTTGATTTTATATCACTGAACCAGAAAAAAGAACGTAAACGATGCACTGTTTTAGTGCACTTCAAAATGTTATTGTCACGTGGAGATATTGGCTCGATATGTGTGACTTTAAGTTTAAGTGACCATCGGACGATAACAGAGATAATTATGTTGATATAGCTATCTTAAACCAAGGTTCAAGCTACATCTTAAGATTATCTAAGACTATAAATTACTTAAGTACGTTCAAACTCGCTTTCTGATTGATATCTACATGTAAAATTTCATATCTAAAATGATAACGTGGGACACAAGTCGCTTGCTATTCTTGTCTTCCACCTTGGATAAGTTAAGTTTAAGATTATTACCCTAACCCGCTACTGTTTCTCCCATGTTAATACATCGGTTCTAATTTAGAATGAGCAGTGAACCTTTCAAACATCAATCTATTTTACAATACTGCAAACTCTCCGAAAGGAACATCAATGGGATTAAATGATTAAACGAAACGCTAATAATGATATATTTTAATTCCATAGAATATCTATATAGTTGGTACATGTATTAATATAAATATTGTACCGAAATGTTAGTGATACTTTAAACAGTTCACAAAAATATAGCATGATTATATAAGTAATATAAAAAGAGCATTAAGTGATTCGTTTACGAGAATGAGAGCATAAGATCAAGACAGGCTGCCTCCTTATTCATGTACATAACGTTTCCCTTGATGTGATAATCTCCTGATGGGATCACACTTACGTCCACTTCAAATTCGGTCTTCGGCAATGTGTAGTTGTTCTGTACATAATAAAACAATAATGGACGGTAAGTACAGTGGTTAAATGTAGATACATACATTTGATTATATAACAAGAAACATGTACGAAGTCAATCAAACTCTTGTATCTTCTTTATAAAGCCTTAAAATAAATTTTACGAAACAAAGTCATTGTTCAAAGTATCTGCGACAAGATTTGTCAAAATTTGTCTTGTGTGATCATCAACTTTGCAATTCTCTTTTTTGCAGTCATATTGAGTTTCATTTTATATCATTTTTGTTTTATTTATTTAATTTATTTCATTTATAATTTGACCATTTTATCCAAACAGATAAGTAAATGTATTTTAAAAAACTTAAATATTGTGCTAAATAACATTATAATAAGAGGACCTTACCGCTTTAAGGGGGCATGTACAGTCGATTCCAATTCTAACAATAGGGTCTGGGCATTGAACCTGCTCGAGGAGTTCACACAGATCGGGGTAATGACAGGAACCAAAGTTGTCAATGCAAGGAAGCTTTACAAACTTTCCTAGAATCTTCTTCTCGATCAACAGATCTCCCTGACAAAATACAAATACAAGATAAAGATTTAAATGATGGTCTCCCTTACATAAAACGAATACTGAATAAAGAAGAAAATATATGGTTTACCTACGAATACTAGATATAGGTAATTGTAAGCTAATAGTATGCAGATGAACTTGCATTAGAATTTGATTTTATGTAACGTATGTTATGAATAAACCTTTTGTACTCAACAGTTACAAAGAATAAATCAATGATAAATCGACATTGGAGATCCCTACCTCGTTGGCTTTCAATGCGACTGTGATATGTATATCTGATTGCAATATCTTGTATGAAAATATATTGTATTATAGTCGAGTAGCATGACGACAAATAGCCACACTATGTCTCGGTTCATTATGAATATTGAAATTGTTGAAGAATTGTTATTCGAAATTTAATGTTTACTCCAAGATTATGTTATTATAGCAAATGCATCGTTGCTTCCGCCCTTGCCTAGAACATTGTCTGAAGGGATACCTAAGATCGTCATCGGCCAGGGTTAAAAACACTTCAGTGTGGCGATATTACAATGAAAGTGTAGCTGAGGCGACGAAAACCGTTTGCTCAAATATACATTGTACATTTTCTATAAGAATACTAGTAACTCTTACCACCATTGGAGCTCCAACAGGACTGTTGATCTTGAAACTAGTCATAACATTCAGGTTTCCCGGAAATACGATTGGATCTGGGGTGACAGATACTTGATTGATGTTGATAAGTGCATTAGGTCCTCCACAGTCCGAGAAAGAGAATGACTGTAATTTAACTTGCTGTTTTTTCGCTTTGTGCTGAAATAAATTATACTTTTGTATGCATGCATAACTATTTTACTGATGACGGCCAAGACAGGTATTGCAACAGCACATGGAAAACTCTGATTCAGATAGCATTATAGCAAGGTTATATTTCTGTCGAATTTTAACAGCGGATTTAAGTAAGATGCTTTGTGGCTTAAAGCAAACGAAAAAAAAAATGCGCATGTATATCATTTGAAGTGACATAACAGCAATATTTTAAAATAGATGTTAAATGCAGATTTCAATTTCTGTCAAAGAAAAACACAAATTTGTTATGGCCGATAAATATTCAACATCAAGCAGTCAGAAAGTTAGATTCCAATATCCGATACTTTCAAGCTAATACGTACTTTGACTTTTTTTCTCGAGTCACCAAATTTAATAGTTGATACATGTGAAATATCAAAAACAGATGAAAGGAAATGTGAAGCAATTTTGTTATTGCTATTGCTTTAAACGTATTTTTATCAGGAAATGTTGGTACGTATTGTCTCTGTGAGTGCGACTGAATATTTTTATTACAGCAATACATATTTGGTTACTCGCGTGAGCGGACTCAAAGTAGTTTTCCTTGGAGTAATGTTGCAACCAAAAATGTTTTAACGAAGTGGTGATTTACAGAAATTACATTTAAATGCCTTTATCAACTACCGGTATTACAAAAAGGTCCTACTTACTCCTTCAGTTATAAAGTCAATCAGATCTTCTTTCGTTTCTATAAAATTTCCCACTTTCTCTAACTCCTCCATCTCAAACTCAAGCACGTTTGGCATGGCCGCCACACAGGCCATTACCACAGCAACAGAGAACAACAAAATGCGCATTCTGCAATTTTTGTGAAATACAAACAAAATATGAACGGATAATTCTGATGTTCAACGAATACGGGATAACACGTTGCTGCTTTGCTGCAAACTGACTAGTACCCCAAATAAATAGGACAATTTAATAAGTTATAGATAATATATACATATCTATGGTTGAAGTTTGATAACATTTTCAAGTGACACAGATACAAGTGTTCGAGTTTGCCAGCAGATAGTAGCTTTTATATGCAAATCGTAGCGAATAGTTAGTGTTTATGATTGAAAAGAATAAAAAATCGAGTTTTTCTCATTTTTATGCCTCTGGATCGACAAATTGGCAGGGTATAATGTTTTGCAATTGATCGGTTTGTTAGTTTGTTAGTGTTTGTAACAAAACCTTAATAGTGACTATAACACGGAATTCGTTCGAGCCTCCAACCATCACATGCGCATACATTTGATAAGCTCCAAACTTGAGGTCGTCGGGTCCAAGGTCAATGTCACCATGACTTGTCTGAAATATCCAATAAAATGTTTAACATTGTTCATAAATAAGCATGTTTCCATCCAACGGTACGTTTGTTTTTCACTATGACTTTTTGTTGTTTTATAAAATATCAAATTAATTAAAGGCGTTAACAAAATAACGCAATTTTCAACAATTACGAGTTGGAAAATATGATCATCAACAGCGTACTTGTGATTAGGTGCTGGTGTACTGTGACTTACAGTTGACTCATTAAGGGTATTATCAAATTCCAAAATCATTTTCAAGGTTATATAAACATAAATTTGTAAGAAATTACGACCGACGGATGGTAACCGATTTACAACAAAAGTTGTCAGTAGAACAGCACGCTCGACTATCAGCTATTCTAAGTGCTTGATATTAAAAGATCCTTGATAATGTAAAATGTTTTAAGTTAAAAGGGCCTATTGTGCTCTCAAAGAAGTGAGTAAAATTTCATCTTGTTTCAAATTGTCCATGGAATATGAAATTTTGCGGTGGTACCCAAACTTTAACGTTGGAAGTCGAACTATAAATGTGTCCAGAGGACACGGGTGCCCCTACCGCGACACTGTTATGTCAATCTTTTGACTCTATGTCAAATATTTTTTGAAAACTAAAATCACAGAACTTTACAAATACAGAATAAATCCACAAGCAAACCCTAAGGTGCATAATTGCACACGCTGACCAACATTCTTGTAAACTTTCAGGCCTACAAGTGAATTACTTTTTGGGCTATGCATTAACAAGTTGAATATTGCAAATTTATACTACTGTAAGTCAAGGGCAATAACTCTAACAAAACTGAAAAAAATCCACATGCAAAGTTCAAGGTGCATAGCTTCACAGTGATGTGAATCATTATTCCTGTAATTTAGTGATGTTGATCATTATTCCTGTAAAGTTGGTTGATTCTAACTTAAGCAGTCAAGAACAAATAATAACATAATGAAACAGTTTTTACTAAGTCAAAGGAAATAACTCTACAAAGACTGGTCAAATCTACAAGCAAAAGAACCCAGGTGCACAACAAATTATGCTGAGCAGCCTTCCTGTACGGTTAAACGACTCTATGTCAAATCCATTTTGAGTTACATGCAACACAAGTTGAAAATTGCAAAATTTTACTAAGTCAAGGGTAATAACTCTAAAAAAATTAAATAAATCCTGACGACAACTACATACGCTGATCAATATTCCTGTAAACTTTCATGACTCTAGGTCAAATACTTTTTAAGTTACATGCGACAGAAGTTGAAAATTGCAAAATTTTACTAAGTCAAGGACAATAACTCTAAAAATGCTAAAAATATCCAAACAAAAATACCAAGGTGCACAACTACACATGCTGATCAACATTCCTGTAAAATTTCATGACTCTATGTCAAATACAAAGTCAAGGGCAATAACTCTAAAAATATAAATAAATCCAGACGAAAATACCCAGGTGCACAATAACATATGCTGATGAATATTCATGTAAAGTTTCATGACTCTAGGTCAATTACTTTTTGAGTTACATGCGACACAAGTTGAAAATTGCAAAAGTTTACTGAGTCAAGGGCAATAACTCTAAAAATACTAAATAAATCCAGACGAAAATGCCTTGGTGCACAACTGCACATGCTGATCAACATTCCTGTAAATTTTCATAACTCTAGGTCTAATATTTTTTTAGTTACATGCGACACAAGTTGAAAATTGCAAAATTTTACTAAGTCAAGGACAATAACTCTAAAAATGCTAAAAATATCCAAACAAAAATACCAAGGTGCACAACTACACATGCTGATCAACATTCCTGTAAAATTTCATGACTCTATGTCAAATACATTTCAGTTACATGCGACACAAGTTGAAAATTGCCAATATTCTTTGTTTGTTTTGAAGCTGTTGCATAATACATTATCATACATAATTGTTATACATATTATATGAAAATTGATTGAATGTTTGAATATAATGTATATTATAATTATATAAAAAATATTATTATAGATGATGATTTAAATATTATGTATATATCATGTAAGGTATTAGAGGGATGACCCCGACCCTCTCATACCTATTACGGGGTAAATAAACGGGGTTACCCAGTTGGGGCCTCAAAAAAAAAAAAAAAAAAAAAAAAAAAAAAAAAAAGTTGAAAATTGCAAAATTTTTACTAAGTCAAGGGCAATAACTCTAAAAATACTAAATATATCCAAACGAAAATACCCAGGTGCACATGTACATGCTGATCAACATTCCTGTAAAGTTTCATGACTCTAGGTCAAATATTTTTTGAGTTACATGCGACACAAAAGTGAACGGACAGACAGACAGAAGGACAAGGGTAAATCTAAATGCCCACCACTAGAGTGGGGACACAAAAAGGGGCTTTTTATGTGAAAATGCTTGATAGAGTTACCTCCTCCTGTCTACAGGTTGTGGGCATGATGGTGCACAAGTGTGCAAAGTTTCAATGCCATATGTCAACGGACTTTGACAATATTAGAGGTGATAAGCAAAGTTTAACATGAATTTTAAGTCCAAAAAGGCATATTTCTGTCAAAAAGCTTGATAGTGTTACTGCCTCCACATGAAGTCAAAATAATTATCTAAATACTGATTGATGCAAGGGATGTATGTAACAAGCATAAATTGTGGGGCGTGGTCAACTTATTTAAAATTTGCACTTAATAGTAAATATTATGGCGGTGTCGGCGAATTACAGGTTTGGCGAACGCGAAAATGGTTTCGCCAGTCTTATATTATATAGTAATACAAGAGGGCCATGATGGCCCTGAGTTGCTCACCAGAAACAACTGCTTTCCAGTGTTGGAATGTCAATATATTCTAATATTAAATGAGCAAAGAATGCATGTTTAAACAATAATTTAAACATGCATTCTATGCTCATTTTATATTAGAATGACTGAAATACTGTTGGAAAAGGGCGTAAAATGAAACAAACAAACAAACAAAACAAACAAACAATAATTTGAAGAAATGTTATGACCTGGGGTATTTAAGCTTAAGCTTAAACGGGGCTAATCAAATTAATTTGAGCAAACTTGATAAAAGACTACTTAAGAATGATACAAAGTTTGGTGATCATCTTTCAATTATTTCAGTAGGAAATGATCTTCAAAGGTTTTTTTCTATTTTTCTATCTTTAGCTTTAGTGGTTTAGGGGCTAATCAAATTAATATGAGCAAACTTGATAAAAGACTACCCTAGAATGCTTCAGACAAAGTTTGGTGATCATCCATCAATTAGTTCTGTAGCTATAACATTTAAATGAATATCAATTTTTAATTTTAGCGGCCCCTAAAAGGGGCCAATCAAAATAATTTGACCAAACTTGATAAAAGACTACCCTAGAATGCTTCAGACAAAGTTTGGTGATCATCCATCCATTAGTTCTGTAGAAATAGACATTTAAAGGTATTTCTATTTTTAGCTTTACTGGCCCCTAAAAGGGGCTAATCAAATGAATATGAGCAAATTTGATAAAAGACTATCCAAGAATGCTACAGACAAAGTTTGGTGATCTTCCATCAATTAGTTCTGTAGATATAGACATTTAAAGGTATTTCTATTTTTAACTTGACTGGCCCCTAAAAGGGCCTATCAAATAAATATGAGCAAATTTGATAAAAGACTATCCAAGAATGCTACAGACAAAGTTTGGTGATCTTCCATCAATTAGTTCTGTAGAAATAGACATTTATAGGTATTTCTATTTTTAGATTTGCTGCCCCTAAAAGGGGCCAATCAAAATAATATGAGCAAACTTGATAAAAGACTACCTAAGAATGCTACAGTTTGGTGATCATTCATCAATTAGTTCTGTAAAAATAGACATTTAAAGGTATTTCTATTTTTAGCTTTTGCGGCCCCTAAAAGGGGCCGATCAAATTAATATGAGCATACTTGATAGAACACTACCAGAGAATGCTACTGACAAAGTTTGGAGATAATCTATAAATTACTTCTGTAGGAGAACATGTTAAAAGGTTTTTCTATTTTTAGCCCTAGAGACCCCTTAAAGGGGCCAATCAAAATAATATTAGCAAACTTGATAAAAGACTACCCAAGAATGCTACAGACAAAGTTTGGTGATCATCCATCAATTAGTTCTCTAGAAATAGACATTTAACAGTATTTATTTTTTTAGCTTTAGCGGCCCCTAAGAGGGGCCAAACAAATTATTATGAGCAAACTTGATAAAAGACTACCCAAGGATGCTTCAGACAAAGTTTGGTGATCATCCATCAATTAGTTTCTCTAGAAATAGACATTTAACAGTTTTCTATTTTAAGGGGCAAATCAAATTAATATGAACAAACTTGATAAAACACTACCCAAGAATGCTACAGACAAAGTTTGGTGATCATCCATCAATTAGTTCTGTAGAAATAGACACAAGGATGCTACAGACCAAATTTGAAGTAAATCTGTCCAGTAGTTTCAGAGAAGAAGACCATTGTTGACGCATGACGACCGACGATGTACGCCGGAGCATCCCCCTTCGATACTAATAGCTCACCCTAAGCCTTCGGCTCTGTTGAGCTAAAAAGGCAACATGTAAATGGTTCATTGATATATTGTTTTTACCACCAATA